GGATCGACCGGATATCATGATACACGATAAGAAGCGACATGAAGTAATGCTAATTGAGTTTGGCATCACTAGTCAGGACCAATTAACTGCAGTCAAGACCCAGAAAAAGCGAAAATATGACCTACTTGCTAATAAGCTTGGGTCAGAGATGAAATGCAGGACCAAAATAATTCCGTATGTGATGACTTGAGATAGGATAGTGATGAACTTCCATGAACGTTACGCGAAGAGATTAGAATATATGATTATATGGAGGCATATAACCAAAGTATAGAGCTCAAGAAGACAGTCGAAAGCATATTATTCGATCACCGTAATGGATTCAACGAGGATGACGAAATAGAGATGAGCACAGTAGAAAATATAGCGGGAAAAGTATAACGACAGTGTCAAAGAATCAGTGTTAAAATCAGTAACGCAGAAGAGAAAATTAACTTCCATTTCATACAGATTGGTATACTCATAGTTGATTATAAGTGCTGTCTGTTAAGAGTCAAAAAGTGAAAGGAATCGTAAATGATAGACGTCTTTCATGCTCGCCAGAGCTTCTAACTTTTATTTCGGTGTTTAATCTCCGAGAGGATAACAGCGACGTTTCTAACTTTTAATTGTTAAGTACTGTTCTCTAAACTTAATATAGAAGATAAATTTGACACAAAAAGGTCAGAAATATTGATAGACGTCACTGTTATCCTCTCGGAGGTTTGTAGGAAATCTGAATAAAAATAATAAGGTAGATGTTGAAAGCAAAGATTGGAATTTGTGAACTCGATTTAACATTTTACTCATTCTTCATTTTCTATTTTTAGCAATAAGAAATTTTAAAAAAGGTTCAAGATAAGAATTATTTCCTTTATTTTGAAAAGAGAAAACTTTTGACACATGAAGTGGAAGCAAGCTTATTCTAACAACTAAAATAAGAAATTTCTAAAATTGTAAAATTCATTCGACATAAATTAGACGAGCTAATCAGTAAGTAGCCCAAAAAATGATCGACCTGACTCAAGTGAAACGTTGGTAATTGGTTATTATCCTCCTACTCTTCCCCTAGTGTAGCAATTGTGGATGCGAAGCAGCGTAGATGCATGCAGAGAAACAATTTATTCACTTTTTTTGCTTTATCCATGGTTGTCGATCAATAATTCTTAGTGTATTAATGACAGAAAAAGTTATGTAATCTAGTCACAAAAATTCAACAAAAAATTCTTAAAAGGCTGATAAGATTAAGAAATAAGTGATGAAAATGCAAATGAGACTAGGGAATGAGGGCATAAAATTTATGAATTTGTCAGAAGTGAACATAAATAATTAAGATCCACTTAATGATCTGCGTGATCAGTTCAGAGAATTTTCTCGATAGGTAGTGATAGCGGTACTAGGTGAGAGGAGAGCGAAGCTCAGCAAAAAAGAAGGCATGAATAGGATGAAAGTAGTTTAGTGAGATCGCTACATTTGCGATACGCTGAGGTAGTTTGCAATTAATAAATCCATGTTCCGACGTAGCAGTGCCATGTCAGTGCCATGTCATGTCATCTTATACCTTGTCGCATAACGCTCTAGCATGCTATATAGTACGGTACAGTATAAAATATTTCACTGCATTACGAGTGTTTGAATGCTGCTTCTTTCCTTTGCCTGTGATTCAAGGAAATACTTCAACTCCTAGCGCTTTGATGGTAACACCAAAATGAGAGTTAACCTACTTATTCATTAAAGAACTGAATGCATGATACCTAAAACTTGGCAAGTGTTCATTTTCACTTCGGTGCCCGTTCAATTTACATAGCACTCCAAAATTAGTGAATTTCATGTCATCTAACTACCACTCCTTTTTTTTGCATTCCGTTTTATAATAGGTCTAAATGCATCAAAATTGAAATAAAATTATGTTGGGATCGGAAGCTGTGAAATAGATATGTAAATAACCTGAACAATATACCAGCATTTTCATTACATAAATCAGATAACTGGAAGAATCTATTACAGATACGAAAAAGTAAGAGAATGATGTATTATTGTAGCAACTTAAAAATCCAAAATCTGCATGCACTAACACTTATTAATATGTGCATCAATAAGAGTGATACAAAGGTATTAATGTTAATAGAAATCCACAACTTCATGAATATGATTAATGATCCGAGGCACATTGGTGGACTAGAAAAGTTAATGGAATGGTTTTTTGAGTAAACAATTTTACTAAAAGTGACATTAACGCTATCATATTGTTGAATTTCAAAAAAGTGTTTGATTGATAGTAAGCAGATAGATCCAGTAAATAAAGTTTGTAAGTGCTGTTTATGAATTGAAATTTATTACAACTTGAACTGCAAACACAATTCAACGTCAGACGCATTTCAGTGAAAAGTGACATGAACTCTCCAACATTTAGTCGAACAATCTTAATGCATAATATTTCACCAATCTCTTCAAGTCCTAATCATAATTTACTTGTATAATTCAGAGCGAAAGAGAAGCATTACTCCCGATTTCATGAAAGCAAGACATACGGAACCGAAACAAAAGGCGATATTGGGATGAAGTTTTTCGTCGTGATCCAGCTGAAAATCGTGCTTTATCTTGATTGTTTATCGGTTGTGAGATGTGGGTACTTCATGAATTGACATATTGGGCTGCAATCTTCGTTTGTAGATGGTGTTCTGTTGGCCTTTGTGATTAGGAGTAGTGTCTGGTATAAGAATCAAATTGAAGAATGGACGTACCGTTAGATTTTTTGGTTAGCGAGAGCTCTGATACTCTTTTGCTGGAGAATTACAAAAACAAAGGAATAGTTATATTTGATGGTAAGAACCTCTGGCTCGCTGTCGATTTATACTTTGGATGTGATGGAAAGGCGTATTGTACTCGAAAAATTGTAAGACTTTAAACAGTATAGTTTAATTTCAAAAAACTATGCATAGCACAGTGTTCTAAAATATTTTTATTACATCTGGTTGTCTACAAGGTTCTATTATATTTGATGAGTAAGTGAGGAACCAGAATTGTCAGTTCGAAATATGTGTTATCTTTTTCTGGCTTATTAACGAACAATTTAGTGCGTGTAGTTGTAAAGAGTAGTCTAGAGAATAATAATGTTCATTTATTGCGTAATGTGTATTCCATTATGATTTTGATCCAGAGTTACTTCATTTTATCATTTTTATTGTCGAATGATTAAGCTCCATTAGAAAGTTCATCCTTTCAGTGTTTAATTTGCTTTATTATATGATAAAATACCTGTATTGCTGCTACTAATGTTTTTTATAGCAAAAGATTAATCTGACTTGTATGAAGTAAAAGTATTTTAATTTTTTCAGGAACTGTGCATGTATCCTGCATTGCCTTCAAATGAAAAATTTGATGTAATGCTTGTCAACAAAATGGGTAACAAGGTAGCCTTGTCAAGTTTACATTCGGTGTACATAATTGATGTACCTAATGTTTGTTGGTCTGGACGGTTGGTAACGAAAAGTCGTTTATCGGAGCATTTGCGGTCTACATATTGTTGCAAGTAACTGTCTTAGTCGTTTTGAACATTGCATTATTATTATTAGTAAAAAAAAAAATACTCGGACGTTGAAGCAATTTAAGAGATTTTGGTAATTCCAGCTACATTCCGTGCAAGATATTTTCAGTTCGGCGACATGCAACTTTCGAAATGGAATTAGAATAGTTTGAGTTGGGAAGGAAAGAAAAGTTTGGAGACTTGTCTTTCCATTTCTTTTTCCACGCAATCGAATGAGATTTATTTCCTATTAACCTTATTTTAAGGAGTCAGTGCATTCGCTCTAGTATTGGCATGGAAAATGGAGCTAATATCATTAAAATTCGGTGGTATTGGGAAGAGTTTGATGAATATGAGTATCTCATTTGTAATACGTTAGCTTTGCTTCACGAAAGAAATGTTGTGAGGTTGACTATGTTGCATTATTTTCAATACATAATTTGTAATAAAAGTAATATGGACCTCATTTATTTATTTTCTCCCTTCTTCTTATTTATATTAAAATTAACTTATTTGATATACTATAAATAGTTTAAGTAACTTTGAAAAAGTAGTTTGGTCAGTGTTTTAAAATATAGGAATTTCTATATTTTACCTTTCTAGTGTACGCTGAAAAATGAAACATGGGTATTTTCTATGGAAGTTGTTATTTTTTAGAATTTATGATACTGATGTCTCTTGTGCCTTGCCAAAGATTATACTTAATTTTAATGCGCTATTAGGAATGGATGGATCGAGTAATATCCGTTCAATTGGTTTATATAATTATATAGGTTAGATTTTTTTTAAAATATATAGTGTACCAGATCTTTCGGCGGAAGTTACAGTTCTGAGGATATATCGAGTATATTTTGGGGATTTATTTTATCTTGTAATATAATCTTTTTAAGGTTCTTGAAAATAGTGGAACCTAATGCATTTAATCGTATTATTTACCCTTAAAACGTTGTAGTGGTACTATTGTTTGTGATAAAAGTATTTGTGACATGTAACTGTTTCAAAGGACCTTACGAAAACAAAATTGGCAAACAGTTTTATATTAATTTGATTTGAAAAAGTATTAATGCAAAATAAAGTTTGTTTTCTGAATTATTAAAAAATAACTCATTTTTAGCTTCATTCGATTTTGGACCGTCATTTGTTTCGCGTCTTCCTAATCAAGATAATAAAGAAATTCATTTGAAAACATTGTTTGCTGTTGACAGTGAATGTGGGGATTTGTATATTGCGTTCTATTCTGATGAAAAGCAGGTTTTAATATAGTCATATCAGTTATCACTTTCACACTTGTTCTTAATATATATTAATTTTTCTAAACTTAAATCGCTTTTAACTAATTCTTTATCATGTTCCATCAGTATAGTAGTTATGAGCATTATTTCAGGGTTGTTCAGATCCAAGGACCTTGTTCACTAATGGGATCGAAATACGACAGTTCATTCAGAGGTGATGCTCTTGATTTGCTTTTCATACATTGTATTGAAAATCCATCATTACCAGTTTTTTCGCTTATATCTTCAGATGGTCGCATTACGCATATTCTTGTGCTTTTGATGCAGGTCAAGGTTTTATATTTTAACTGTCAACTATTGTACCTTTTGGCCATTTATGTAACTTTCGCTTTGCGCTTGTGGTATTCGTCAGTAGATAGAACTGCAGTTCCTTCGAAAGAAAATGAAATATTATACAGATCGATACTCAATTTTGTTGAAGTCGATTGTTCATAGGCAATTATTTGCTTTCAGAATGCTTTAGTTGGATTTGTGGAATTCATCCTTATTATTTATGATAGTTTTTTGATGCCCTGCAAACCACGTGTAAATGTATCGCATTATTTGCGAAAAGGTATTTCTCAAAAACTTTAGATTAAATTTGAATTGAAAGTTCTATTCATATTGAGCTGCATAGCTAATTTCATTTGATAGTTGTGCTTAAATGACAAATACTGTCATTGTCATGGAGAACAAATATTTTTTGCAGCATTTCTAATTACTATTAAAATAATTTTGACAATATCTAGTAGCTATTGTAAAAGTAAATAAAAGGTAGGACTTATCAATATCTCTAAAAACTTCAGATGCTGTACAATCTGGTCATTACTTCGTTATAAATGGAATAGACCTCTATTCAGTTGATATCAAAGGATGGACAGACTCCTTGTCTAGTATGTTGCAAGATGCAAAGTAACGATTCGTCTCACTTAGTTTTCTTTATATCTATGCACTTGCATTTTAGATATTGATTGTTCGTTTTATGATGCCTTGTTCTCTGGTAATTGTCTGCATATGTTTTCCATAAGAAATATTTTACATTAAAACGTTTAAGATGATTTAATGGAATTTCGGTTACTCTATCTAAATATTCGCTTAATTTTGTTGTTAGTTCATTTTTTTGGTAAAAAATTTCAGCTCTGAAGAAGGCAGCTTTGGAGAAGCTTTGGAGCAGGCTTCATTTTCCTCTAAAATATATCAAATCTTTCGTATTTTTGAGTGTGCTGATGACGCAGGTTTACAAGATACTGTACTTGCTATGACAGCAGCGGCAGTTGAAAATCAGTATCCACAGACTCATAATTTTTTTAATGGGAAAAATATAGTTTATATAATAATAACTTCTTCGAAACAATTGCTTTTCAGGTTCATTAGGTTGGTTTGATTTATTATTTTTATCTCTTTATTTAAACAACGATAGCAGAGAATATATATCCTGTGAATAATAATTTAAAAAACTTTTTTGGAAAGTATGTACGTTTTTGTAGAAGGTGATCTCACGTTTACAATTAGGCAAATCTTGTTTTATAGAAAAATCCTTAGACGAATTACAGGTCTAATGACTCTTTGTTTAATGAATGTGTATTACCCAATGTATCGTCGGAGGGAGATACTCAGAATTATCTCATGGGAGAATCTAAGGAAATATCATATTCACAAACTATGGTACCGAGATTGAGGTGCAGTGTTTTCAAATAATCTCATCTATGTGTACTTTTAATTAGTATTGTCCTCATGCTTGTAAAAGAAGAATATAGAACATTTTGTTGCTCTTTGCAGGTTGAATTCGGTTTCTGAATCTCAATGTATTGAATTAGCTTGTGAAGTTATTGAAACAATGATAAGAAATATGGTGGTCACTGAGATGACTTTTAAAGAAGCTCAAAACATGTAGGTAGAAATTCTTAAATTATTCAATTAAATCTTGAGCTTCATTCTGTTCTATGCATCTTCGTTTCATGTTTAAATATAGCAAAAAAAACAGAAAAGGATATTGAATTTGCAGTTCGCAATTTGAAACATTGCATGTTCCTGAGTTAATTTCATTTAATATCTCAATGAATGTCCCAAATACTAAATTATTTAAATATCAGTGTTAATCCGTCATTTCTTATTTTTTTTAAAATTTAATATCTCTCTTTTTCCAGATACAATCAACGCTGTGAAAATTCAGAGGAAATTAAAGACTTCAAATCGATATACAGGGAACAGTTATTACAGTTGATGGCTGGATATGTTGATTTGAAAAATCGTGTTTTTAAAATTCGAAAAGTAGTCTTTCAACTTAAGCAACGGAATAATGAGGTTAGTTTTTGCTGTCTACAGATAGAACTAACACATATTTCGTGAGACATATGTAGTCTTTATTGTTGTGCAGGTTCGTCAGTTTCTCATAACTTGCTAGCAAGCTAACAATGTGAGAAATTTGCTAGCATATTAATCTAGCATAGCAAGTTTGCTAGCATATTTCGTGTTCTGAAGACGTGGGTTCTATGCAGCATTGAGATGTTTCCATTGAAAGTCTTCATACATGAAACAAACTCAAATGCAGTCTTATATATATGTGAATAAGTGGTTCATATTGTTTAGCGAAAAACCGAACTATCTATTTAATCAACATTTATATACTGTAGCGTATTTTTCTCCCTTACATTGACAATTAGTTTTGTTAACATTCCATGCCAGTGTACGTTTGATTATTAAAACGTTGCTTATCGCAAATTGGAGTATATATCCATCTAAATAATTGCTTGTAGGCCAAATTTCATCTTTTACCAAAAATGTTCCCAGTTACGGACACAGAAAAGATTCTGAAGGATAAACTGCAAACGATGCTTGTTGAAACTCATGGCGTGGCGCAACAGATACCAAATGTAAACATTAATTTTGAAGTGCCTGCTAGTGTTGGCTAATTCGATAATGTCTTGTATCTTTGTATACTGTGCCTTAGTGTAATCATGATAATTATGAAAAAGGATGTGTTCACCAATTTTTAATAGAAAACTTATTTGGCTTTTGTTCAGAACTTTATCTCTTAAAGAGTCCTTGTAGATTAATTGAGCAAATGTGATTTAATTTTAAGCTTATAAATGAAGTGGCTGTAAAACATCGTAAACTTTTTGGTCCGGCTCGTTCATTTTCCGCATCTGCGAGCGCGCAAAAGTTCATGCTATCGAAAAAGTTAGTTTTTTTTCATTGTATAATTTGGTCTAGACTATCATAACTCTTCTAATGTGTTCGGTTAACATATTATAAGTAGCAAGTTGTCGACTAGTTTTCACCAATAACTTAAATTTTAATTACTTCCAACATCATATACCATTTCACATTCTTATTTTCTTTACAGTTCTAAAGATATTGATAAAATGGTTATTTGGACAAAAAAGCTGACAGAGAAATTCCATGCAATGGAAGCTAAATTGGTAGCTGGAAGAATTCCGATACACTCGCCAAACGATGCAAAAAAAACTGATATGACTGGAAAAGCATCGTCAGACCCACCAAACTTAGCGCTTAGTATCACTGAAGAACAGAAATAACTAATACATTGATTTATGTGAGAAACTTGTCAAGTACTGGGCGCTCAAAAATATCATATTGCAAAGAATCATTAAGTTCCAAATAGTTATATTCAAAAATCAGTTGTGATTAACTGAGCAATATTTTGTCATAATTTGTATGAGCTCTATTTCATTCTTCTCTTAATTCGAGACCTGTTCAATTAAGAGCGACAGAAAACAAGAAATGAGGAATCTAGTTACTTCGAGTGTTGTCCAAGTTCGATCTTAATTTATATGGGAGATAGTATAGACTCATGTGAGGTGAGTAGCTATTTACAATAGCTTGAAAATTATGAGCATGGTTTTTGACAAAATTGATGTCCATTAAAAACAGTTTCGTAATGTCACTAATGAGGTGTGCAGGTGGCATATTGTCTCGTTATTCATGAGTTGCTGAATGGACAAATGCGTATCATCGTAAATGGAAGTAGCAGTTACAGGTCATGGTTTTAGTTGTCATGTAATGCTAAAATTATGAATGCATGTCAAGGATTTCAAACTGTGCTAGAAAACTGCATCTTGAATGCACTCTAGCGTTACAACTCAAGAGACACGATATGTGCCGACAAAAAAGCGATATTGATGGGACATGTTTGGTCATTCTCATATTCATTGCCGACCTATTCCCATCTAACAGGGAGATCAGTTCTTTGCACCAGCCACAGTGTAACTTGTCAGCTATATCTACTTACTGGGAATATTTTCCATCATTAATGAAGCATTAAGAAGATTCAGTAGATGAACAAATTCAAGAAACACAGCTTACTAATTACCTTAAATGCCTGTAGTCAGGACGTAAAGATGCTTAATCGTTTAGTGGGTAGTAGTAGCATCTCTATCATTTATTTCGCATTTTACATGAAGACAAGTCATGAGAATAATATGAAAAAACTTTCCAAACAAACAGTGCAACGATCAGCAATTCGGCAGTATAAGGAGTCAGTTATTAAGTCTGATTAAGTTGCTATCCTACTACAGTTTCAAAGTCATTATTACCCTAATGCAGTTCAACACGATTAAAATATCATGCTTCACGAACAATACAGAACATTTTAACCGTATCAATCAATAAGACTGCGTAGTTTACCATGAAAATATCACAACATGGTCACTTCCAAAGTGATCAATCGTGCATTCTGGATTCATTTTAGAATTATAGAAATAGTGAGGAGCTAGCTTAATATGACAGCTTGCAAAGTATACCTCGGTCAAAGACATGAGCTATAGTTCGGTCATAGGAATATACGCGTTTGCTGATTAGAAGCAGTGTGTGAATGGATACTAGAAAATGAATTGGCAGCAGCATATCTTTAATACAAAGTCATTAAGAAAACGAAAAATCGTGGAAGAGTGAGCATGAATTACAACATCTGTACAAGTGCCTTCTGTCCCAAAATATGAATCATTAGATGTCCGTTTTCAATAATTGGTGTAGGAACACGCCTGAAGTGGAAGATGAATTCATACAAACTGTAATTTCTGATATTTATCAAAAATTATCATTAAGGAACAATAGCACTGTACTGATGACAAGAAAAATAAAACCATGTACCTTTTACAATCCGGAGGATATTCATCATCTCTGATAATTCTGTAAGCATGCTTCACTGGATTTGACATATACCATCCATATTCACTTAAGTGGCTGGTATGTAAAAGTCTCTTATTTTCAGGAGATGTAAGACCAAGAAATCTAAAACAATTTCATTTAAAAAAAAAACTTGAGACGCAGCAATAAATGCAATAAATCACTTGACAGAACTATTTAGTATTTTGAACAATGCTCTAAATAAATGCGCTTTTATCATATAGCATTTTGAGAAAAAAAAAACAGAGCTTACTTCAGACACTTTCGATTTCTGCATTGTAAGGCAAACTTTCCATCTTCCCGATGTTTATCAATAGCACGCAAATTCCCATCACAATACGGACAAAATAAAGGGTAACCGATAGTCTTGAATTTAGTTTTTCATGAATACGTGTTTCTGGTATTCCAAATGGGAGCTTATAAAAAGCTTAAAAATTTGGATCTCCACAACAAACGAAAGAAAAATGGAACTAAAGGTTTACCACATGAAATCGCTGCAACAAAATAGTATTTCTCTACAGACTAATAATCTATATTTTGATGGTAGAAAAACTATGGTACTTAATACTTGATTTTTGGAGGAGACTATGGTCATGATTAGCACTTATTGTTCACAACAAAAGCTCAAGTGAATTTAATTACCTTTGGCTTCACTGTGTCTTGTACTTTTGACGAAGTCTCTGACTTTTTCAATGTAGCTTCATTATTTGAGCCGCGAGTGCAATGAGTGTTATGTTTATTTGAGCTGCGACGAGTGCGATGAGTGTTATGTTTATTTGAGCCACGAGTGCAATGAGTGTTATGTTCATTTGAATCGCGATGTTCGGTTGAACTAGGAGGATTAATTGGATTTACGCGATTAGCACAACTGCGAAGATAGATAGGACTGCGACAAATAACTGGAGTACGGCGGTTACGTGGAATTCTATTATTATTTGAATTACGACTATTACGTGACTTGCGTACATTTGGTTTCACACCTGAAGTTTTCGATCAAAGCAAAATGATTTCTAGCAAACAGATAATTTTAGAAAAACAAGTAATACATTTTCTACGTTTTGATTTCTTAGATTTTACAAGGGACTGCTTTAACAGTTCTAAAACTTCAGGTCGAAATCCTCTCCATGCTCGCCTTAAGCTTCTGAATGAAGGGATCGCTTGAGCCTTGGTCATATCTGCGTAAAAAACAAACATATATAAACGAAGAATCATTTAACCATCAAAGCAAAATCAATTAATGAGTAAATTATGAACTTCTCTTTTCTAAGAATTAAACCGTGATTAAATAGGAATTAAAGAGTGCAAATACAAAGGAATTGCCAGACTGTACATACCATCAAGATATGGTGGTATCAAACTACTTGACGATGGTGTATTTTTTCGTTTCATTTGTTAGTCAAGGAAGGCTAACGAGTCAATAAAATCTAAAAATAGTTCATTAACACCACAATCGAATAGTAGACAGCGCACATTACAAATTTGATTAGCTTTATTTAGTGCCATTACGAAAGAAAATAAGTAACAAATATATCTTATAAGAGTGTTTTGAACCACAACCGCACTACACAGTAACTACCACAAAACTAAAGCCATTTCTGTTTTTGCGTACCTTATATTAATAGGACACGCAAAATAGATGGTGAGGACCCCTTGTGAAAATTCGACATTCCACTGTTTGTCCCTTCATGGGGTTGTACACTGTCATTCCCAAATAATTTTACTCGAACATCGAAATAATTTTATCATGCCTTGATCCTATAACAATTGTTTCTTGCGCCAGCTTACTTTCTCCGAGAAATCGAAGCAAAGCCCAAAAAACTGAAGCAGTTAGGAAATCAATCGTCACAACAATCTTATACCCTGAACCCGCAATTTCCTTTACCATCACCTATATTTTTAGAAGTCAGTAACATCGCTAGTTCACTAAGATGAACAACTCCATAAATCTATATACAAATTTAGCACCTAGTAGTACTGGATTATCCAGCATATTCACACTGCCATACTAAAGGGTTCAATCTTGGTATACTGAAAAATGACATTATTGTTCCGAACGAAATCACGTAGTACTCTCAAAGCTCAAGTAATAGTACTGCTTCAAGTTTGAAGTCGAACTTCAGCAAGTATTCAGTTATAACAAAATTATACGATGCAAATATTCTGAAAAACTTTTACTGCTAACCAAATACAATGACCCAACAAAACAAATACAAGATACAAAAGTACATATAATTTTTTCAAATTAAAGCAATAGAATGCCACAGCTAACTCTTAATATAATATGAGAAACAAAACGCACGTTCCAACAAATCATACAATTCATGCTACTAACATCTGTAGAAAAGTATATTCATCCAGCCGTTAAATAAATGTTAATCAAAACTCTCGGAATTAAAATACGTGCAGTAATTTCCATATCATATAATGTAATAGGCTACAATTATATTAGGGAAATGTTTAATTATTTTTCCTTTAAATCTAAGTCAAACTTCATTAGTTACACATTGCAAGAAAGTATGAACCTACAGAAAAAAAGAGCAAGTGAAAACTACAAAAAAAAACTTTCTATGAAAAGAAAAACTAATTAATAATAGTAGTAGTGATTGTCCCATAATTCTAGGCTACTGCACTTCCTATTATTTCACTTATCGCCAGATCCTTAGATCTAAAACAATAAACCAGCTGATGCAACATTTCTGTTATAAAATGAGAAATGAACTATATAAGAGAAGTAAATTTCTAAAAAATGGAGAACAAACAAATAATCTATTTAGATATTTCAAATTCGTTTGACAAAGGACTAAAAATTATGAAAATCACCTCTTGATGAATCTAGTTTTTAGAAAAATTTTACCTGACTATAAAATTCAATGTGACAGTTTTATCCGTTGGATCCAATGCAAGTCTAGCTTTAGCTAAAATTTCATTTCCAGAACGGAATATGCCAGACAAAAGAAGTAAGTGTGCACTTTTACCTTCCGGTACACGATCAGATCGTTCACACGGTCCTAGATCTATACATTTGATCAGCTCTCTGACTGCATCTATAGAAAAGATTGATTAGCACAATACTACCAATTCTTCACTACTAACACTCAGTTCTCAAGTGATCAACTTGAAAAATGATGCACATTTTAAAGAAAAATTCATGCAAACAGATGCAATTACTATAAAAAGTAGTACTTCTAAAACTAGTAATGTAAAAATTGTGACAAGATTTGTTTGATAATTTGGTAAATTAGTATCTGTAGCTCTAAAAATAAAAGAAATAGAACTAAACGAGATAATAATCAAGAGTATGAAACCTAAAAATATTTAAAATCAAAAAATGACGTATAGAAAGTTTATGATGGCATGTTGTAGTAAGTTTCATTCTTGAAAATCTTATCATTGATTTTGGATATAAGCTGTCATTATTAATTGACAGTAATCAATAATATAAAATGCTTAAACTTAATACTTCAGATTATGAACAAGTATAAATATGCATATTTGAAATGTGCTAAAGCATGTTCAAAACTACCTTGCAGTGTGTGCACTGTCGACAAAACATATGTGTCTTCATTTTCATATTCATTACCAATCTGTTCCCAACTAACAGCAAAATTAGCTCTTGCTATCGGCTGTACATGATCTGCGACTGTTATTTCCACGTCTTCTAGCTGAAAATATCATTCATTACTGTAAAACAACAAATAAATTTATTCCACAGACAAATGAACTGAAGAAAAAGAATGTGAATATAGTATTAACAGTATCTTAAATATCAAGTAAAACGTTTAATTACCAGAACAGTAATTTATTTTACATAATAGAGAGAAGATATCAGTTTCTAGCAAAATAAATTTAGTATTAAAATTTCCGAAGCAATAGCGCAATGTTCATCAATCCAGCAAAATATACAATTCATCATTAAAGTGCGGTTAAATTCCATCCTAATGCAGTTTAAATCAATATTCTATCCTAAAAAACTCTAAGTGATTAAAATGAATATGTTCCGTGATCACTGTAAAAAATTTGAGAACATGAATATACAGAACTCTGCAGCTTACCACAAATATATCATCATAACTTCCGTCATTCTCAAAATCCCCCGTTGCAGGATCAATATCACAAACTTTGAACTTCAGAGTTGCGCTAAATGTTGCAGCAATACCAGTATTTGCTTCCGGTATTTTTAGTAATACATACGTAGTTGACTGCACACCAAACGGTAATTTCTCCAGAGGTACAGTGTACGCAACTGTCCAATTTTCTGTGCCCGGAGCTGGTTCCAATTCGACATAAACATTTTCCAATAACTGGTCATTCAGCGTATTGTTACAATCGAACTGCAAATCACAAAATTAAAAGGATCACACTTGCAAACATACTATTAAAAAAGCATCCTGCAGACTAGTTTTTCTGGACCAAACTGTTTTGGTAGCTGAAATCAAATTATGTAAATTAACCTGTAACACAATATGGTGTGAGAACATATGTTTAATACAAGAGACACTATATTCAGTAATTTCATCAGTCAACTTCATTGGATGTGATGATTTGAACAATGGACCCAAATTTGCAAATTCCGGAATAACTGCCAACTGTTCTGTAAATAAAATATAAGTAAGAACAATTGTTCAGAAATTTAAATATATGTTTTCATATTTGAAGTTTTAAAAGTCTAAAGTATGACTAGCCTGCATAAATATCACGATGTGGTGCTTTTCTTTCTTCTTTTTTATTTATAACAGCATCCACAGAAATAGCTAACTTCTTCACTTCATTTGCAGTTAATGCTACTGTAGCAACAGGCACCACTTTCAAATCAAACAGTTTATCAAACTTTCCAGCAGTCATGTATTGCTCCAACGCTCTTTCAAGTCCGAGAATAGAAACCTCAAATATAGAATCAGAATATCGTAATATAAACAAGTTACAAAGTTTTGAAAAAAAAAAACAATTATCCCTAGTTCATTTTCATGAAACCTTCCATAGATCCATCCCACATATACAAATATACACCACAACACCCTATAAAATCTTTTTCAGCTCTAAAAAATAAACTAACTTGCAGCCCATTAAGAATATAATTCGCTATAAGCTGAGAATTCCCTGTTTCTAAAATCGATAAAAAATAAGTTGCCCGATCGCGGACCTCATCATCTGTATCTAGTAAGCAACGTTTTAATAACACAAGAATAGAATGGCGCAAATCAGTACACTGAGCTCCGAATTTCGCCAAAGCAGTCACTGCTGCAGCTCGGACCTTTATATGAATCACATTTAGTTTTTTCTGTACACGAAGTACTGACTTTTACGTTTTTTGTAAAAAACATCTGAATTTTTAAAATGATCTCATACAAACCGATTAACTGAGAAATATACAAATCTGATTCATAACTGGGACAACTTAAAATTATATTCAACTTCTATTTCTTACCAAGAATATTGATCAAAATCCGAATTTTATGAAACTATGCTAGTTTTAAATCCCAAAATGTCATTTTAAAATTACTTGAGTTGTTTCCAAAATGACTCTATTATAGATGAAACGAATGTAACGCGATGGATTTATAGTAGTAGGTGCCTCACGACCAAGCAAATGTAATATACGAGTAGCAAGAATAGGATGTTCGCAATCTTCGATAAATTCACACAAATGCGATAATCCTGAAAATTTTGCTATCAACATTCACAAAGGAGGGACTAAGAAGCCCTAAATAGGCTGTGATGAAGAGCTGCTCATTTTATAAATACTCTTCCCTATAAATTCGACCGAAATGTTTGGTTTTCATATTTAAAATACTTTTTGAATCATAAATAAAAACAGCTACTGTAGTACCCGCTTCTTTAGAATCTGGATTTTCGTCAATTATGGCTATAATCGTGTCAACAATGCTCTTCTTATACTCAAAACCACCATCATCGCGCAACATCGTAGCTAAAAAAGACATCAGCGTCGAATGTTTGCGTGGATAACGATAGCACAATGAACGGATTGCTTCAACCACCACAACCTGTAACACGATCATCTGTCATGAATTAACGCTCTATTTTGTTCCACAACTACCCATTGTATTTATCGATTGATAACAGCAGACTAACTAATTCCTCAAAACTGAACACCAGTGGTTATTTGCAAAAGAAAAACCTCCACACTTAGTAAAGAAAACTCACATCTTAAAAAAACTACAAAGGATAAATCATAAAAGCAATCACTTGCCTTAAATTCATCACTTATTTCATTAACAAATGAGCTTATTTGTTTCATGAGTCTTTCGACTGAGGATTCAGCTCCAGTTTTCAGCAATGTCGTGATTGCTAATGTAGCAATAGAACGATTCTGATCCGTAATCAGTTGTTCTAAATCGACATTGCATGACGTTACTGCCTGTGGATGCTTCACTGATACCTGAAATAGCAATGTGAAAAAGATTTGATAAATGCTTTACTATAATTCATTAACACTACGTTAAAACTATTGTGATTTTATTATTATTATTCGATGTGTTACAACGGAATTTATCACAATATTTTAACAATAAAGAAGCTTAAGTGAGAACGAAAAGAAAATAAGCTAGAGTAATTCACAATAACCTACTCTTTCATTGATTTTGGACCATTAAACATAACTGGAATGAATCTGTAAAACTCACCACCTGATAAACATTGAGAACTACCAAATGATGCTTAGACAAAATTTTAAAAAACTGAAGAAAATAAGTTATATCAAAACAAATGATAATAATAAAACAATCTAGGAACCCATTGTCCTCATTCCAGAAACTAAAATAAAAGTCTCAAAGCGAAACAAATTTTCATACTTCTACATAGTACAGCTAGTTTTATAATCCACTAATAAGTGGTATGCACCACTTTATTGATTAAATCACTTCAATATCAGCATTAAATTGATTTTTTTAATAAATTTCAATATATATGATTTGCTACTGTAAAAGAAATATGCTACATTAAACTGAAGAACTCAAAACCTTATTCAATGTTCGAACAGCAGCAAATCGTAAAGTCGGCTTTGGAGATGAACAGAAGAGCTGCAACACTGAAATAGCAGGGGTAAGTTCCGTTGAAGTAATCATCGGCAAACGAACGAGCGCAGAAGCAGCTTCATAGATTACCATTTCACATTTGTGCCGAAGACATGATTCGATGAATTGAAGTAGTGGACTTTCTATTCTATAATTAATGATAAAAGTACTCCGATATAAAGCGCATAAATTAAAATTTTTTACTTTGGCATAAGCACTACAGAATTTTGACAAATAAAACAATCCTTAGAATTAAAGTTAAAAAGATTATAGTTTACATGAAAAAAATTAATAATAAACTAACAACTCACCCCGCTTCATCTTCTTCGATTAATTTTGCGGCTAGCCGAATAAGGTAACAAGTAGCAAAAGGTGAACGCAGAGATGATTTGCTCCATTTTTGAACCAATTTGTTTACTGACAAACGATCACTGTTTCGAATATGATACAGTAAGCCAAGAGCGTGATACTGAACCATATTGCTGAAGCCATATTTTTAATGACACTATTTCGTGCAGTTACGGAGGAAAATGAAAATGGTAGAACACGCACATTTGAAAGACTTCAACATACTTTGAAACTAATTGACGAAACATTCCGACTTTGATTTAAAATAAAGTTTTAGTAATTTGCAAATCAAACTTAATGAGATCAACAGCATTATAATTTTGATGCTAAGTAGTTCGCTAAAATATTATAAAGAAAAAAAGACTACATTAGAAAATTTCAGGAAAATTTGAGATTAATATTTTTATAAGAATGCAATTCTGTTTGGAAACCTATCTGAGGAAACAGCTTCCTGAACTTCGTTTGACCAACGACGAACCACTTCCAAATTTTTTCGAAGCAAATGAAGAGATGATACAAGAGCTGCTGATGCAACAGCTGGATTTTTGTCGACAATCGCCTATAAATAACAAATTCGGACTAAACTTGAAATTGCATTCACTGATCTTTATATCAACAGCAAAATAAGTTTATCTTACAAAAAAATAACATCAATACTTTTGAAATTACTGCACCTGTTTCATATAACGCTCAATAGCTTGTAACATGCTACCGTCGATTATGCAACATAAAGCTCGAATAGCTGGTGCACGATAAATATCTTCTCGACCTGTCATATCCTTTGTAAGGCTAAAACGAAAACGGTAAGTAAAACTGAGAGAAAACGACAAACGAATAAAAACATTGACAACGAAGACAAAAAAAATACCTGCTTGTTACAATTATGACGTCATTAGAGATGTCACAAAACTCTTTGATTGCAAGGTAAACTAGACGTCGCAAATTTGAATCCTTACTCTGCCATAACTTTGTTATAGCAAAAAAGGCCTCTGTTGCCTCCGTACGCCCGATTGTTTCATTCTGCTGTCGTAAATACAGTAATTTACTCAATGTAAGACTGCATTTTCGTGCATTAATCGGAGTTTCGTTGAAAGCACGAGTCTGAAAATGCTAGCGATGAGTGATTAACTAGAATTACATGCACTCAATAGCAGCCTATAAATTTGGCTTTTCCTTTTTTTTTAATAAGCACACATCAAGTCTCAATTATTTCAGGAAAAACTACGATTACATGTTTTTATCGTCGGATAATCAACAACTCAAAGAGATTAGTTCAATTTCACATAACGATATATAAATATAACCCTCAATTAAATTGCATTTTGGAGTTACTTTGTACAACTGACTTCATGTTGAAAACACGAAATCGTCATATTTAATATTAAGAGATTAAAAAGAGCAATTAGCAATGATACATAATATCTGAATACCTCCTGCAAAACCGATGTTTTATCGAGACTGGAAAATGGATTATTAGTAGTTTCTTCATCTTTTTTGTCTCGCCTCATTTTCAACAGACTGCAAAGCAAGTGTCAAAGTATAGTTAATACTATGCAAGAAACCCTAAGGACGCTAAAATTACTTCACCTGTACAATTTAATAACGTAAACTTGAGCTACCAAGGAAATAAAATAAGTAAGAAATCACACACCAACTGACTACTACTTCTCAATTGTACACTTGTTCAAATATGGTTCGACATATTATGCTGATCTCGTCGTAACCCGTTGTTTCCCACTTAGATGCTGAAGAAAAAGCATCTCCAAGAACGGTGCAAATAAACATACATGCCTCATTCACATTGTTAAATTACCAATGTATGAAAGATTACTGCATCAGCAAATTAGTAATTTATCAACAACTTGAGCTTATACAGACAACGAACCACACCAATCAACTTCCTAAATATATCACTACATATTTCACTAGTGATCGCCCACGTAATGCAGTCTTATGAAATTTTGCTCTGTGCCACTTTGATGTGGAACAAGACAAACGCTGTGCTGAGGGTAAGACCGAAGTTTAGCAATGACGGCAGCCGTGTGTCATTAGTGCTAAACTCTCTATTGATACTGTTCAGTACGTTGCTGTTGATTCGTATCATGCACTCATACTCATTGTTCTTCTGAAGGGAGTTGGGCTTCTGAATTATGCATAGTAGAAGACGAGATATATGCATAAATATTAGTAATTCAGATGTCTGCACATTTGTGCATTAAGTTTTCGAGGGTTACTTTTAAACACTACTCATGCGTTTGCTCATGTCGTATCAGTAACTTCAGTCATGTCAGTGACAAAAGGAAAAGGACCAAAATGTAGAAAAATAGAAAAACGGATGTTTTCAAGGTAAGTAGCTTGTGCATCACTAATGATTACCACCATCACAAACATTGCTGTGGACAGAAAAGCAACAAAAAGTCCTGTAATTGAAATTGGATAAACACTAGTTAAATTAAATAAGCACTACTGTACGCTTCCAAAAGCATGTCTATTTCTTTTAAATTTTGACGTGTCTTTCTTTTCGTATCTAGCTTAGATTGATGTAGATAGCTCTGGCGTATGGAAATGTAAGTTGTACCGGGCACTGTAAATAGCACATGAACTCTTCCTAGTCGTATTGTATTGTTGTGTGGAAGGTGTTTGGATAACAGCAAAAATCATATGTGATTCATACAAAAATTTATTTAAAAAAAGCTAAAAATAATGAGGAATTTTGTTTGTAGGAACATGATCATAATTGATAACAAATTCCCGTCAGTTGACATATTATTTCAGCATATGGTCGGGTATCTGTGACCGTGAATGGGGATCCTTTATTACATGCTACTGGTCCGAAGGAGTGCACACCAAGTAGATAAACGCGATTTCTTACCGATCCCTGGAGTCCAGCTCCACTATCACCCTCAAACAGCATTAGTAACACAAAGGATGCTTTGAATAGCACTACACTGCAAAGCAATCATTACTGCATTCATGTTTCTGTTGCCAAACGCTATTCGACATTTTGGCAACTTATTTTTGCATAGTTCAATTGCTCAATGAGTACACTATATGCGACTACTCGCAGTCTTTCTTGGCTTAAATGTTTGAGAAAGTTGGAAAATACTCAAACTGAAACTGAATGTAGTGCACATCATGCAGAAATTGAAGTAATGTATGCATTGGTTGACTTTAGAAAATACTGCCACATCTTTGCACTACTTGTCTGGTCAAAGCTTCTCTTTGCACTACTTGTCTGGATCAGGTGAACTTAATTGAAACTCATCCTGCTTTCTATATTCACATGCTTCAATTTAATCTTATTTAGACTTCAGCAAGTCTCTGAAAATCATTTTGTACCTAATATTTTTTACACCTTCAACATTTTATGAAGTTGCTGCAAACATTTCATAGTCATCAATAATTACTACTTACTGGCAATATGCACTTTTCTTACCGTACAGATTCCATGGAGAGAATTAGAACGATTTCTTGTCATGTGCACTGGCCCCGCTTGAATAAAATCGTGATACTTTGCGACACTAATAATTTTTGCACTACCATAATTTAACCTCGACATTTTTTCTCCCTCTAAAATTGTTTTCTATTCTAGAAATAAAAAGTTTGAGTGGTAACTGTAAACATTATTTGTCTAACATTCTGACAGATAAAAAAGTACGGCCTAATTATTTATTAAGGTTAAGATCATGAAGTAATTGACAATTTTATGAGAATTCGAAATTTACTGCTACATCTATTTTTGATGCGCATGTTCCTATTCAAAATTAACAAATAATATTACGTACTTTCATTTTCGCCAAAACCATAATCAAACAAGTTCCCGACTGAAGTGTAATCAAAGGATGAACCAGGTAAGCAAATTGGCAGTGTCGTCGAATCAAACTGAAGCTACTTCAGTGGAGAAAAATGATTCTTTTAACGCATGGGAATCAGAATGCGAAAAGAAATGAGAGTGCTGACATATGTAGTGACACTTAACGATTCATGATTTGTACCAAAATTTATTTATTTATACCATTTCAGTAAATTAGATTAACAAATTTCTATTATTATTCATTAAAAGTGGTAATTAACTTAAGTCTCAGGAAATCTTACCACTAAGTCAGTTTCTAGTTCAATAATGGCAAAATCGTATCCCAGAATGCAGTTTCCATCCATAAAACTGGAAATAAAATTCTTTTTTTTATTAAAAAATCAAAATTTCTTTTGCACAGTTCTGACAACATTTAATTTGCTTGACATCTATTTCAAATAAACACCCTTCACACAAAATTAAGACCAAATTTCTAAAATGTTAAGTCTATAACAGCGAGCTAAGACCACGCAATAAACCAATGTTTTCTTTAGTATGATAATTCTATTTTAAATCAAACTCTCAATATTGATAGATTGGTTACTACCGTTTATGAATGGCGACCTTACGAATCTTTGCCTTCCTACACAATTTACCATTACAGGGTGGAGATGTGGTTCGTAAACATATTCCACCGTATCTCACTACTATTTCCTTTACATCATCAAGCGGTCTTGCTCCCCTAAAAAATGCCGTTTACATAGAGACCTCCGTCATGCTTAATGTTGACTTTAATAGAGTGAGTAATGTGAACTATAAATCAGGAAGCAAAGCATGTTTCTCTGCTTACTCGTATTTAAGAAACTTATCTAATATATCCTATTAATATGACTGGATTTTACAATGTTTCAGAGTTTTTAATCGTTCGCAATATGTAAGTTCAAAAAATATATTCTATGTAATTGTTCATGAGTGTGACTAACGTGCATGGCAATTTATCGCTATTGTAATTCATTATGCAATGTGCTGCGCTAAGAATGTGTCGTTTAGAAATTATTGATCCACCACAATAGTTGTACTGATCTCTGTCTGCCAAAGTTAGTGCAACAGCCCACGGAAATTGACCTAGAGCTGCGGCGGAGCCAGCCGAAATTTTGTACGCTAGAAATGAACTACAAGATAATTGAATTTATCACGCTATTGTGGGCGGCCTACAGACCAGTATTTTTTAATACTGATTACTGGTTATTTCCGCAGTTTCCGTAATTTGTTGTATTAGTATTAACGATTTCTGAGTTGAACAAAAAAAATAAAATGAGAATCGAAAAATTGGTGTATATGTAAGATTAAGTCATAATTACATTCAATAAAGATTGTAATCAATAAGAATATGAGTACGGACGTGTTGAAAGCCATTGACGACGTACCCGACCACAAGTGTAATATAAATCTTCGTTCCCTTCACTGCTAATTTTACTTAGCTGCATTGCTTCACCCACAAATTTAACAAATGTTTTTTGCACATTGATTTAAAAAATGAATGAAATTAAGTATGTCATATAAGATAATATACATCATATAATGTGTAATAGATTTTCGTGATCGATTAGAAAAGCAGGAAATTATTCCTGTTTTCAGCTATAAGTTAAAATAATTATAAGGCTAGTGAGTTGCTCAAATTGGTAGAAGAGTAGTTAATTACTTACATAGTTCTATTATGAATAATTAATAAAGAAAATTCAAGCGAGAGAAATTTCAAAATGCATAAAAACTCATTTATCTGAACAAGTCGATTGGTCAGCAAAAATTTTCATGACTACTTCATATTTCTGCTGAAAACAAAATAAATAGATCAACCAGGTTTGGCATAGACGACAATATCATCCAGGTTTATTCGCATATCTTTTGTGGCTGTTATAAATATCACAAACGGCAAAGCCAGTGATAAGACACAACCGTTCATGTAGTGGATTTGCTTCTAAAGTTATAGAAATCTTCAGTGTGAAGACGTCTTAACATTTTCTTCAATACTCAATGAATTAAACAACCAAAATTTTTGCAAATGTTATCACAATTATTTAAAACATTATTTGTACTGTGCATGACTCAAATTTTTCAGCACAACTTTATTTAGAATTTCATGTGCAACATTGCAAATTTGATGTAATAAAATATTATTAGTTGATAAGTATATTTATAGAAAGGCAATTAACACACCGCTTCACCGAATTACACGCAGTTAAGGGAAAAAAACAGCAATGAGTAGAACAACGCCAAGTAATTAATGTATTTTTTTGTTGAAATGATAAATAGCGAAAAACATGAATATACTATTAATTTGTACAAAAAAAAAACCATTAACTCATTTTATTTTTTTAGAATTAAGTATATTACGAGACAAGGATAAAGTAAAGCCTTAGAATATCTCTTCATTTTTGCAGTAAGTAAATACTACAAAATCTTTTTTACAAGTGATTTATAGAGTTGTTAATATGAGAATAAGAAAAAATTATTACGTAATGATGAAGTACAATAAAAATAAGGAAATTCGCATAGAAACTGAACTTTAGGTATGAAACAGAGGCCTACATTAATAATCTTGTAAGAAAACAAATAATAATAGGAGGCAACATTAAGATGTGACATTAAATTAATTAAAAGTAGCATAATTCAATTAATTAGTCCCACAATGGCGCAAAGCATTTATTCCTTCATCTACTTATTTATTTATATGATTAATTACTGTTAAAGAAAAAGCAAATTGTGTTAAGATTTATAAGAGTAAAGTTTTTGCACATTTTGATCAAAGGTATCAACAGAAAAGCGGTGATTTATTGATTCAGTAGATTTGACTGATTAACCTTGTTGGCTGTTAAGAGTCGCTTGGAAGAAACGCTGCATGACAACTTTATTCTGCAAATCGGTAACAAAGTCAAGATCACGAGAAAAGTAACTATAATTAGTCCTTAATTTTTTATGAACTCATGAAAGAACAAAAAATTATAGCTGTGCTAAGTTGTAAATATTACTGAAAATAATAGAGAAGAAAAAAATTTTTATTATAGTACCTGGGATAAATATTGGACAACAAAATTTCGAGTTTTGTGAAGCAAAAATACTATTTTATAAACTTTTAAATACTAATAGATTTTTAATACAAGTAGATTAATACGTAGCAGTTGCCAGAAATGTGAGCACATATTTGTATCATAATGAGTATCATCATATTGTATATAACGATAAAATGATAGACATGAAGTATAAAAAAATAACCAGTTTGTGTTCATTTATTGAACATGAAGAAAAGCCGAACATTCTCTTTTGAATTCATATTTAGTATTTTCTCAATAATTTTGTTTTGAGATATGAGCCTCAAAATTTTTTGCTTTCGCATTGTCAATATCAAAAGGTAAAGGCTGCAGCTTTCAATCATTCAGATTATTTTACTAAAATAGTTCTTAAAAAGCAAAAAAAGCACAGTTATTTTGTCCATTTATTTTTCTTTCCTGAAGTTCAATGTACAATCATGACCTGTGGTGTCAATGTGAAACGATGATTTCGACCTTTTGGTATGACTATAAGATCGCCTCGTTCAACATTGATACGAATCCAGTCATCTTCTTCCACTTCAACATCATAATATGCACTGCCGTCCATCACAAGAAATATTACATCTTCTTCTTTTCTCATTGGCTTGTAAAACTGCTCCAGCTTGAATACATTCATTTTGTTAAAATTATTTATCTAGAATATATCAACACAATTAAAATAATCCTTTTTTTACAGCTTTTGGTTTATTCTGCATAATTATGATAACCAAAATGGTTGAAACAAATCTTCACTATTAATATTTGTAATCACATCACTATCTATACCATACTTAATTTATCAATTACTACATTTGTCTGTTTCTAACATCTTATTTCATACTGTTTGTAGCTAAAAATGGAACTTAAAAATTGACACCAAGTCGATATCTTCAATAATATTTATTTATCTGCATATAATTTTCCATAAAAACTTTCCTCTAACAAAAATTTTTATTGAAATTTAAAAATTATCGAAAATAATAGTCGAGTGCATAATTTTTGAAGACACTAGTGAATTGGTAATGAAAATTGCGACTAACAACAAAATCATAAATTGTGAACTTAAGAATCATAGCAATCGATGTTAGCTGCATGTATATCAATGTGAATAATTTTTCAGCACCATCTTATTATTAATGGCATCTTCCAACATTAACTAGAAAATGATGAATTATGCTCATTTAAATTGTCCAGCTAGTACTGAACAATGATTTCTGTTTTCATCATTTACAACTTTTACTACTTTATCCTGCGATAACTTCAGTCGTGTCATTAATATCTATCACCTTTTTCGCTCACTTATATTTTACATTATTCTGATGTCACAAATGTTAGTTATCACTTCATAATGACTGCTTTATTTATCTCGGACTTTTGATAGAGTAGGCTCTACTTTTTTTGTGGTAAATTCCTATCTAAATAAAGTATTTTGTTGGACATCGAAATACGAATCTAACAAGAATTTACTTTTTGTTCAAAATCATGAATATGCTCGTGAAGAGTGAAAATGTCAGATGCAACCACATTGCGCTCCGCTTTAACTCTTGAAGTACGCTTTTTTAAAGCATTCTGATCATCGATATCAACCTGAATACAAATATTTTAGTTTATTAATTTTTGGTACGAATTTTCATTTCGTGTCTTTAAATTAACCAATTAAAGAAAATTATATACTCTAGTAATTTTATTTAATACTAGACAACAAAATGTAGAGAAACTGATGCTTAGCTAGATTACAGAGAATTTACAAGTTTGAGCATTGCTTGGCAGTAAAAGTTAAAACTTTCCGTCTTTAAGTATTTAACAAAGCAAAGTATTTATATATCACCTTGTACGCCACTACACCTGTTAGAGACTGCAGTTGATCCAGTGTATATGTTTTGGGTGGAAAAATATGGTGAGGAAGGCGACGATCACCACAAGGAAACGGCTCCATCTGCCAAATCTTCATTATGCGTATTATTAGGTCACTGCTGATTTCTTAATAGGATCAGTGACCAATTTCAAAAATATTTATATTAGTGTCACAATTAATTTTTTGAATTTGATGTTTCGTTCGTTCTTTTTAAAAACAAACACTCATTAATGTAATAAACTAATCTGCAATTTTATGAAGACTATAATAATATGCATAAATATTGCATCAAAAAATTAAGTACAATTTTCATTCATAATGCAAGATAACGCAGAAAAATATAAGAAATTATGCTTGCCAGTGAACTTTATGGCAATATAGCAAACAAATGCCGAATATGAAATATTGAAAGGCGTTGAGTAGCATTCTAAAATGATCAGAAACTTACATCATACTCTGTATCTGTTTGGAAAATATATTAAAATATTGAAGACTGTATTATCATCTTTTTAATTTCAGCTCACCATCGCAATATATAAATGAAAGAACCCAAATACGCCGAAAATATCTTTTTCGGCATGAGTAATTTTGTCTCCTACTGGAATTCCTTTCGTAGCTAAATAAAAGTGATCAGAATGATATGCTGTTTCAGTGGAAGATATTTATATTTTATCGAAAGGCTGTTCTTCAAATTGAAAAAGGACTTATTCCAACTGTCAACAGAACTTGACATAATTATAAAACTATTTTTAATATGGTAGTTTTAGTGAATAGAAATGTAAACGCTTCTAGTGAAATTAAAAATGAACTGTCTAAATATTAATCTTTATTAATGAAAGCAGGAGGGATCTGATTATGGTTTTGCATAGAAATTCTGTAGTAAATTAAAGGAAATAAATAGCAAATGAGTTCATAGATAGTGTTATGAATTTCAATCGAAATTAAATGTAGAGTAATGAAAGGACACAAATGGAAGATGATAATTTTTATTTAAAATTAAAGCTGAGCAAAAGTAATGCTCAGGTTTCTGATCTTTCTCGGAAAACTTATAAAGAGACGTGAAATTTTAGCCAAGTTTTCTTCTGCTGAATCAAGACACAAATTTAAAGAGAAAGAAAATTGCAGTAATGGCATAGATTAAATGAGTCAATATTTTTATTTAAAGTAAAATTTGCTTAAATAGTGAATGAAACGACAGCTCATGACTTTAATCCACTTTTTCAAGCAAAATGCACTTTACTTTAAAATACTATATTGACTCTCAAAATCCACTTTTCGCTGCGACTTTTACAATAAGTGAAAATTAAAAGTAAAAGCCAGAAATTAATTGAATTTGAGTAAAAAAAAACTGTTGGAGCAAAACAAAATTTATTTTCTATGGCCGAAGAAGTCTAGAAGTTCTTTGAAATAGTAGGGTTACAGGTGAATCCAACGAAGTTAGCCACTAATACTGAGCTATGCGTTGATAAGGCGGTACTCTTGGAAGGAATTCAAGCCTATAAATACCTTGGCATAATGGAGGACAGGACTAGCGCTTCGGCTCCAGAAAGCTACAATAAAGTGCGAGCAGAGATTTTGGCGAGAATTGAGCGGCTAGCCAAACTGCACTAAACGGCAACATCTTTATCAAGGCAGTAAAGATTAATAAACTATTATACTGGAGTGCTCAAAGTGCAATCAATCGACTATGATATCAGACAGT